AAATGACGCAGACTTTGACAATTCTTATAAAAGACGAGCTGAGTATTGGCAGAATAGGACATTAATGAAAAAAATAAAAACAAAAGGAATTGTCCGCTAAAATCAGTGCAAAATAAATTTAGAAGAGTTTCATCTGAAGGTCAATTAAGACGATGGAAAGAATAATTACATTCAGGTGGAAATCGTATAGAAAAATTATCTTACGTCTCCAAATTTACACATGATAAATTTGCTGCAACTGTTGAATCAGGATTCATAGTTCATGATATTGATCTACAAAGGGTTTTACAAGCTCAAGAAAAAATAGGAAATTTAATCCTATATTTAAAGCATTTCACAATTAGATATCAATATTCAAAAAGTACTATCGAATTGTTTCGAGAAAAATTACGAAATTTGTAACTGGAAGAACAATAGAAGATTCCGTTGAGTTGTATAATACAGCTGATGATTTTCTGAAAACAGTGCAACCACTTATCATTTGTATCTGAAAATGTTTTTAATTCTGATCAAAGTGATTTCCAATTCGAAATTTATTCTAGAAGATCATTGTCTAATCAAGATATAAAAAAAGTAGAGTGTGTTGTGCAATCTGTATCATCAACAACACACTCATACACCCTACAACCAATAATATCATGTAATGGAAATTTGCTGTCATCTTTATTTGTATTAAAAGAAACTAATGATATATTTGGACTAAGGACAGTACATGAAGCATTACTTACACCAATAAATGTTATTGTAAAAGCATCTAAATCTGGTAAAATAACTTCAAGTAATTAAATGAATTTCCTTTCACAACAGATTTTCAGATACTGTTTTGTTATTAAAAAATATATATAAATTTGCATAAACGAAATAATGAAATTATAATCTCTGTCATTTCTCTGATATATTTTATATTTTATTTAAGAATCTCGTAATAGTCGTAAAATAGTTATTAATTTAACATTTATATTTCTTACAAATCATTTTAAAATGTGGTTAAAAGAAGCTTATTTTCCAAATTGGTTCTTATAGCGTTTTTCTTATCGATTCATGGACTGGACATTGTCCCAATATTATTTCAGATTTAAAACCTACAGGCAAACATATTACTACTATGATTATACACTACAGGAAAAATGCAACCATTAGATTTGGAAAAATTTAGAATTTGGAAAAATTTTGCTAAAAGATTTTCAGATATTGTTTTACTATTGAAAAGTAATATAAATTTAAATGAAAGAAATAATATAATAAAATTACATCTCTGATACATAATCAATTGTCATCTCCACGATATCACAACTTATTTAAATATTCGTGGTTTAAAAGTGGTTATATAAATATATATATAAATGAAAGACCAGAAAAATTTAAATATCCAGTAGAATTTAGTTTCGACAAAAAATTCAAAAACGTGTGATTGAAGATTGCAATAATATAGATGCAATACGATATTCATGGTGCAAGAAGTCATTATGTTTAAAATATAATTTTTTCATCGAGTATCATTATTGTAATGAATATAATGAATAATAAACGATATAAAATATAAATTTATTGTATATAAACATTTAGAAATTATTTCATTATTAAGTATGTTTAGAAATTATTACATAAGTGACAAGTAAATAAAATGTTCACAGTTAGTCCTATCATTACTTCCAAGAAATTAATTTTTTCTTTGAAAAATATGCTCTGATATGTGGGACGTAATTTAGAAGGTTATTTTTTATATCTCATTACACATGACGCGAGATTTTCTAACAATTTAAATATACTTTATATATATATTAAATATAGTTATTAAATATATATTTTCTAACAATTCTATGTATTTTTAAATGCAACAATTTTTTTTAAATTCAATCTTATATATATTCAATCTTATATAATAATTTTATTTTACAAAAATGAATTTGGAAAATTATTTTTCAAGAGTAAAAAATGCTCGTATATTTTCTTAAAAATTAACAATATTATGGCTTATTTCGAGCTATAATTAAATTATTTTTAATTTTTATTCATAGAAGAAATTAATAGATCAATTCTAAGCAGAATCGTAAGACTCGAAACTTGTTCTCGTATTATAAAACTCATAAGAACTTATAACCAGTATTCTAATTTTATGCGTATGTATTATGAGACGTAAGATTATTCATAAATAATTTACGATTTCTTGTAAATCTTACCAGGTATGTAAATATGAAACCGGAATTTTTTAATACAAAATACACGTTTATTGCATAAAAAATATTTTATTCGAAGTATTGCCCATCAGTAGCTATACATTTTTTCCACCTGTTTGACAATTTGTGGATGCCACGCCAAAAAAATTGTTGCTCTTTTGAGCCAAACCAGTCATCTAGTCATTTTCGTACATTTTCGTAAGAAGTGAAGTGTTGCTGAGTAAGTGCGTGTCCCATCGATGCAAATAAGTGATAATCGGATGGAGCCAAGTCTGATGAGCAAGTCACATGCGAAAGTATTTCCTAACCAAATGCCTCAATTGTTTCCTTAACCAGTTTTGCTGTGTGTGATGGTGCATTATCACGAAGCAAAATCACTTTATGTTGCCTTTTTTGATATTCTGGTCGTTTTTCACACAGCTTGATTCAAATTGATCATTTGTTGTTGGTAGCGTTCAGTATTAACGGTTTCGCCAGGTTTTAGCAGCTCATAATAAATCACATCTTTCTGATCCCACACAGAGTATTGTCTTCCGTCCATAGCGATTTGACCTTGCAGTCGATGTCGATGGTTCGTCTGGAGTTATCCATGATCTTTTACGCTTAGGATTCTCAAAATATATCCACTTTTCATCACAATTCGATGGAGAAATAACTTTCTTTTGTATCTGGCGAGCAGCATTTCGCAAGTGGTTTTTCGGTTTTCCTGCTGTCTTTTATTCAGTTCATGTGGAACCCATTTTCTCATCTTCTGGATCTTTCCCATGGATTTCAAATGTATGGAGACAGCTTCTCGTGTCACGTTCAATTGATCCGCGAGTTGTTGTTAAGTTTGAGCGTCATCCTCATCCAACAATGCTTGCAATTCGCTGTCTTCAAACTTTTTCGGTTTTCCACGTTCTCCGTTTCCATATCAAAATCGCCACTTTTGAATTTTTTAAACCACTCAAAGCACTGTGATTTATCAAGAGCATGTTCGCCGTAAGCTTCGACAAGCATTCGATGCGATTCTGCAGCAGTTTTCTTCAAATGGTAACAGAAAATCAATGCTGTTTGCAAATCGTAGTTTCCAGGTACAAAATTCGACATGTTCAACGCTATTACAAACTATATTGTTGTATGAAATTTGTATTGTTGTGAGTTGAAAATTTTTGTCAGATGTCAGAATAAGGAAATGGCGTCAATGGCGCCGTCTGACGGCAACTACTACTTTGACAACTATGATAATCTATTGGTAAATTCCGGTTTCATATTTACATACATGGTAAATCTAGTAAAAAACTGTCTGTAAAAATAAAAAAATATATATAGATATAAACACTTCAAAATTCTTATAAATCTTACGAGAATATTACGAACCTTAAAATTTTGTTTAGAATGTAGGCATAAATGTTAAAGAAATAATATCAAGGTTAATATGTATATATATATATATATATAATTT